TACATTCTTGTCATTTAATGACCCTGTCAGTTTCAGTAGGTTTATTCTAGGTGGATGACTCTCAGAGCTCCTGAGTCATTCAATAAATCAATCAACAAACATTTATTAAATGTTTACTATGTGCCAGGCACTATATTAATCTCTGAGGATATAAAGAAAGGCAAAAACACAAAAACAGGCCCTTCCCTCAAGGAGCTTACTTACTAATGGGAAGGGAACAATAATTTATTAAACTCCTACCATGCCAGGCACTACACTAAGTGCTTCATAGATATTATCCCATTTTATCTTTGCAACAACCCTGGGAGGTTAGGTGCTATTATTATCCTCATTTTTCAGTTGAATAAACTGAGGCAAACAGAGGTTAAGTGATTTGCCCAGGGTCATACTGTTAGTGTCTTGAATGCCAAAGACCAATCATGGTGGTGGGCTCACAGTTTACATGCCCTTGGAAGAGTAGATGTTCCTGAGGGTGGCAATCAACTCTGATTGGTTAAAATTAATGAGAAAATGAATAATATAATGAGAGGTAGGCTTATTGCAATGAGGGTTCTAAGACATTGAGCACCCAAATCTTGGTCAAAGAGATTTGTAAATTTCCATATCACTGGTTCTAATAAAAGGGAGAATTCCCACTTTCCCAGACCTGTCTGAATAAACACAATGAGCAGGAATCCACCTAGTTGTCTAAACTTAGAATTTCTTTACTGTCTTTAATTAGATCTTAGCCTGGGTAAGTCTTTGAACAAGATTTCCCACACTGGTTGATTTCTAGATGAGGAAGTAGAAAAGGGGAAAAACCATGGTCCTAATTCAATAATGTTATTAAATACAAGAGAGAAATAATCATTTCTCTCACTGCCTATTAGATATTTTGAATGGGATGTTCTTCCAGCATCTCAAATTCAAAATGTCCAAAAAAGAACTCATCTTTTTCCCCAAACCCACTCCTCTTATGAACTTCCTTGTTTCTATTGAGTGCATTACTATCTCTGTGGTCACCCAGGCTTAGTCAACCCACATATCCAATCCCTTGTCAACCATTGCCCTTTGTTACCTCTACCCCTTCTTACATTAGTCCCTTTATTTCCACCCACTTAGCCATCACTCTCTTTAAGGTCCTCACCGATTCCCAGTTGGAGTACTGCAGTGACCTCTTTATTGGTCTCCCTGCCTCAAATCTCTCTAACCTCAAATCAATCTAACCTCCACATAGCTGCCAGCATGGTTTTCCTAAAGCACAGTTCTGAAGATGACTCTCCTTTTCAACAGATTCCAAGAGCTTCCTACCACCTCTAAGATCAAATGTAAACTTTGAGTTTGAAAGTCCCCCACAACCTGGCCCCTTTCTACCTGCCTTGTTACACATTACTTTCCTTCACACTCTCTGTGGCCCAAGCAGACTGGCCTTACTGTTCCTCCTCTGCAGCACTCCATTCTCAGTTTTCAGGCTTTTACCCTAGAATGGACTCCTTACTCAGCTCCATCTCCTAAAACCTCTAGTCTCCTTCAAGACTCAAGTGAAGCACTATTTTCTACATGATAATCAAAGATATTAGTGATAATGATAATGATGATAATAATAATTTTCTACCTCTAGACTTCCCTGAAGTCCCACCTTCCCAATTTCAGTGCTTCCCTTTGCTGATTATCTCCAATTTATCCTGTATAAAGCTTATTTGACCATTGGTGTTTGCATATTATCTCCCTCATTAGATTGTGAGTTCCTTAAGGGCAGGAACTTTCTTTTGCCTTTCTTTGTGCCTCAAGCACTTAGCACATAGCAGGAGCTTAATAAATGTATTATGTTTACTGACTTACACTTAAGGACTTAGCTGATCCCTAGCCCTCCT